CGTGATTTGTAGGTTTAACACAGTACCGTGTTTTGTAGGTTTAACACAGTACCGTAATTTGTTGGTTTGATATTCTCTATTTTCTTATCAGAATTGGCGAAGATGATGTTTTCCAGGTGTTGAATGAGCAGACAAATGAGAAGAAAGTTTCAAAGAAAGATGAAATTGTCTTTAAAGAATCAGATGCAGGCAAGGTATTTGCTTTTACGGAATAATCAAAGTTAAGTTTGTTGACTACACTCAACAGAATATCGAAATAATACAATAGTTAAAAACTTACAAGTGATAGAACATGAATAATTACAGGATATTGACAACTTATTGATGAATGAAAGAATAGCTTAATTTTGTAAAGAGGGAGATTTAGCATCATATGGTATACGTAGACAGACAAATAGACAGTGTAACTTTTCTTTACTTTGTAATTTTTAGTGTGCTCTGCTAGTGTTAATGTAATATTAGGCAAAAGATGTGATCTATACAGAAGATGAGTATGTCATTAAAACAATTTGGAGCTTCATCACCTCGTCAGAGTTAGCCTGTAATATAGTTTCCATTGTAGAAAGTCTCATCATAAGGGTGTCATGTATAATACACACTACTACTCCTTACAGGCTTTCCATAATCCATTTGGTGTATGAGAACTATGGTTCCCTAGCACCTGTTTTAGCAGTCTGAATGTCCTAGTGTACATCAAAACATGTAGAAACATGTAAGGATAAATTTCTCTATAAATCTTAAAGTTATTTTACACAACTCAAATAATTGTGTCAATTAATTTTAATATTATTTGATCCATATTCCTTTGTTTTCAATGCCGATAAGTCTTTGAAACTATAAGTCCCTGATGTGGATGCATCTTTATGGCTTGAGTGTATTCATATTTTACATCAGAAAAGGTTGTCACGTATCCTTCCCAAAAGCCGTCATTGTTTGGTGACATCACATCACCTATGAAATGCTAAACAGTGTCAAAATGTAGTTCTGATACATTCCATTCCTCCACAGCTTTATATCAGCTGATTTACATATTGAAAATCGTTTTAGTATAAAATACTCAACCTTCTGTATAGTTAAGTATTCGTCAGTTTAAAAAGATTACCAATATGTTCTACTTTCAGCAGTTAATTTTTTTAAGTATTTTCTAATTCAACAAAAATTCTTTGTGCAGTACTGTTCTAAAATATTTCTGTATTAGAAATTTTGTTAAATAGTTTTTTTTACTACATGATCTATAAAAAATACAACTTGTATAGTAAATTGTATTTTTGTTCTTTCGACTGATATTTATGGACTAATTTTTCAAACTTAACATACAATGTGGTATACTGTATATTTTAGAGCCTATCGTACATAGATATTTCATGTTCCCTTTCACTGGAGGAAGCTGTTAAAGTAAGAAACGAGGCATCGAATTTAGTTCATCGTTTGTCTCTAAAAGAAAATAGAACAGATGAAAAGAACACAAACAATAGTGGCACTGATTTTTCACCAGGCTTCGTAAATCTGCAAAAGAAGGAGGAGTTGATAACTTCGGGTAAAAGTACTGGAACTTATCGAAGAAGAAGATCTCGATCAATTGCTTCACAAACAAATGATGCAGCCTCAAAGGACGATGATTTACCTAACACGAGAAACGAATTAGAAGGTGCATACTCTAGAAAAGTTTTTACCCATATTGAATCAATAGAAGACAAACAAAAGTATTTAGGTCGAGCTAACCAGACTAAGAAACCACAAGGAAAGGGTAGGGCTGCCAACAGAAGAGGAAACATTAATCTTAGATCAAGACCTTCAACTGCAAAAAGTGTCCAAGATAAATATGAAACTAGAGAGAGAATGGCTTCAAACCAGGTTGACAAGGATTCTGAAGTAGCAAAAAAAAGCATATCCGTGCCCTTAGGCGAGCATATTAATACCTCCACCACGACATCAGCAAAGACGAATCTCAAACCTAAAATTCCCTTCGTAAAGAGCAGTACTCCAATCTGTAGAGCAGCTAATACCAGTGCTAATTTGTCCAATAGAAAGATTGCATCTGGACAGGTTAGTCTCATTTCATCTAATTTACATCTGACTAAATAATCTTGCTGTGAATATTAGATTTATTTTTCAAGTTAAAGATTAGAGCAATATTGATTGTTTTTTTTTAAAAGGGGCTCCACCTACTAATTTTTATGAACATGTGGGATTCCACCCCAAAACCCTGCTTTATGGTCAGTCTTTACTTTTGCGAAATCATTGCTATTTTTCTTATAGTTTTAAAAAAGGCTAATTAAATTGATTGAAATAACTTTTTATGATTTGAAAACTGTAACTTTGTTTTTTGAGTTCAAACACCCCACCTTTGGATACCCATTGTGACGTGATGTTTGAAAGCCTTTCCATATTTAATTTCAGACACTTAGTAGGCACTTGTCAGACAAAGTGTATGAAAAATGAGAAGGGGATTCTGTGGGTACCATTTTCTGTAGTCTTATCTGCTGAGCTAACAGTATCTTTTTATTTCTATGTATTTCAGATTTGTGAAAAATCTGAAAATTAATCTAATTTGCCAAAAGTTATACATAGTGCATGTTATCAGACAGTGGCTCTGGGATTACACATGTATCAGATTGTGGACAACTATTCCTCTTCTATTTAAAATCAGCTTCTTAACTGGCTTGTTTACAGAACTAAGTTCCAACTCTTATGTAATTGTGTAGAATTTAGTAATATGGTGTTAAATTTCGTCTGAAAAATGGGAAAAAATTTATATTTTACTGGGTTTTTTTTTACAAATCATTATAGCTTTATTTAATACAAGATTGTAATTATGTGGCTGATTTTTAATCTGCTTACTTTCTTAGGTTACTTTATTGAAAAGGCTGAATTATACATCATCCTTCTCTAGTTGTCAAGGGTCTAGTTATACATCATGTTTCTCTAGTTGTCAAGGGTCTAACTATACATCATGTTTCTCTACTTGTCAAGGGTCTAGTTATACATCATGTTTCTCTAGTTGTCAAGGGTCTAACTATACATCATGTTTCTCTACTTGTCAAGGGTCTAATTATACATCATGTTTCTCTAGTTGTCAAGGGTCTAGTTGTACATCATGTTTCTCTAGTTGTCAAGGGTCTAGTTGTACATCATGTTTCTCTAGTTGTCAAGGGTCTAGTTATACATCATGTTTCTCTAGTTGTCAAGGGTCTAGCTATACATCATGTTTCTCTAGTTGTCAAGGGTCTAGTTATACATCATCTTTTTCTAGTTACCAAGGGTCTAGTTATACATCATGTTTCTCTAGTTGTCAAGGGTCTAGTGATAAAACATGTTTCTCTAGTTATATGTATATTTTAATTTCCAATAATAAACACTAATCAATGCTTAAAAACTGGTTCAACTAAACATTTATCTCCAAATAATGTTGTTTTTTATACTTACATTCCAGTATACTATCTCCTCTTATGTGATTTGCCCAAGATAACTTGGGTGCCCTTCATATTGTACGAGTTTAATTAGGGCAAACCGTTTCTCAATGAACTTTTAATTATTTGTCCACATTTGATTACATGTTATCATGTATTACAATAGGCTATCAAAAAGCAAAATAAACTGCCTTTTTTTTTTAGCTTATTTCCAAAAAAACATCATATGGAAGGGGTTATTATGAGAACCAGCTAACTGAAATAGATGTAGACAATTTTAGGTAGAAGGATTTAGTTTTGATTTTTTTTTACATGATCATAAAATTAATGTAAAATTTTTTTTTTCCTGTAAAGATGTCTTCAGAAAAAAGCAAAACTGAAACATCATTGAGCAACTCGCAAGGATCAAAGGAGTCTGTTTCTTATTCCAAGGTTGGTAGCTATGATAATTTTCCTCCTTAATTATCCGAGGTTTTACAGCATAATCTGCAGATATGTTTGGTCATAAAATTTAAGCATGTTTGTGTTCTAAAAACAGGTTATTTATGTACTGTCAAACATTATAGTTTTTTTAACATGTCCAACTTTTAAAGTTTCCATCTTACAGTTATCAAAAAGCTGAAGCTCAGTCGATAGAAACTTTTACATTGCTACAAGAAAGAAAAAAAAATGTGTTGTTTTTTACAGTTATAATGTATAGTGTTACATAATATTCACCCTAATTCCGACGTTTTATGATTTAAATTACACTTCATCTAGTTTATTTAGTTCAGAGTCCTGGTATTAGATAAAGATCTTTTCAGCACTTGATATATTAGATATAGATATAGCAAAATGAATCCCTGGTTAGTTTAATATCTTTAAAATATAGTGAGTGGATGAAGAAAAGTTGGAGTCATAAGGGTATTTCCTTGGCCTAAATGTTACTGAAGTAATCTTGCTCTTGTTTTACTCGTTCTGTGTTTACAATGCACAGTTTATAAGTCTTAAGAGAAAAAATATACTGAAACTTTGACTGATATTAACAAACTAGCTGTTGATTTTAGGTATACAATTAGTTGTGTTAAATCAGTAACTCTAGAGATAATTGGAAAAAGAAATGATATTGAGTTTGTTTCTGCAGTTGTTAATAAAATATATCAGTAGGCCAGAAAGGCACTCATTTTTTTTAAGGGGTAGTCTGTTCATTCCTCAAGGAGTCTATAATTTTTACCTTGCTTTCAGTCGAGAAATGCAACAACATCCGGATTAAAAACCCCCAATTCACTGTCAAGATATCATAGCAGTTCTGGGTCTTCAGCGTCATCCCTGTCCAGTTCTTCATTTCTTCCTCGTAAGTCGAGACTGCCGAGAGCATTATGTTCAGACGAAAACTTATCGAGAGACCAACTCCCCGTGAAACCTCAACTTGGCCAAACAACTAGCAAGGCCAGAGGTGGAAGACCTGATCTGAAACAACCAATCACCGCCGAGATATCAGAGACTAAACTTCACGGATCAAAAGCCTCGGGAACATTGAAACGTGCTCCTTTGAAAGCCATAGTACCCATATCACAGATGATTAGGCCAGGAGGTCAGAGAATTAATAAAATAAGAAACACCAGTAATCCCAATCAAAAAGGTAATAACCAAATGAGTAAAGAAGCAGGAAAAACATAACCATTCATTTGTTTACATCAATAAAGTTTATTCTTGTATCATTAAGTTTTTATGTGAAAGATCACACATTTTGTTATTGTGAAACATATCTTCTGTTTAAATAGTTAATACTTTCTTTAACAGATATATATACGTTTTATTATAAAACTTAATATTAAAGTATATATATGAACGATATTTTAACGGATATATAATCAGTTTACTTTTAGGTAAGTAATTGAACGAATGCTATTTCATTTTATAAATTTGTAGTTTTAGGAATTTTTGTTACATGTAGTTTAAAATAATTAAATACGTATTGTTGTTCCAACTATAGTTTTTCGTAACTTTAATACGAGTATTTTAAATTGATCTATTCCACTGGCAATAAGTAAAACTAGCATCATCTGTTGTTTCTGGCAGCATCCAAAGTTTTTATTGAAAATACATCTGTGTTCTTTAATCATGAATTTAAAAGCAAAGAAACTTGGTAGTTAATAAAGTTAACTCGTGCAATCAAACCTGTTTGTTAGGATCACTCCAGGGATTAAAATGTTGCTTCTACAGCTTATGGGAGAGAGCTTATTTTATATAAATTATTCTTTATAAAAAATATCGTCACTAAACAAGCATTATTTTTAAAAAAAATGATTTTAGGTTCTTGTATTTTTGATTACTTTTTTAAAGTCTTTCTGCGTAATGTTTCACGTTTTCCTTTTCAGCTGATAGTTCTTACAAAACCGTAACAAGTGTGCATCGAACAAGTAGCTTTCCTGGTTTTGGCATTCTTACTCCATCTTCGAAGATCCTTGACATATCTTTGTCTTCCCCTGCTCTGACTTCAACTCCAAGTAAATCAAAGTATGTTTTGTGCTTTCAGAATTCTTTTTTGGTTAATTGGAGCTTCAAAATGGTTGGGCAAGCAGATAAGTGCGGCTTTTCCCAATATATTTGGTACAAATTATCTTAAACAGTTGTTTTTGCTTTTTACCTCTCTCTCCAGTTTCGAAGAAAGAAAAATTAACAAATTGAAACAGTATGGTATGTAAAACCTTCACCCCTGTTTTGTGGATATTAGAACCATTTTCTGAAAAGATTTATTTTTTGACATTTCTAATGTTTTTATTTCATACTAGCATTTTTATTTTGTTAGTGAAATTTACCCTGAGATGTAGCTTTCAACATGATTTGATTGTACCAAAAATATTGTTTTTTTAGGTTTATGAGTTGTAAGCCTAAGTTTAACCTAATACAGAGTGTAGAGGGTGAAAATACGTGTAAGTTTGGTTGTCGGATAAAATAAGGTCGAATATTAACACCTTATATGCTACACCTCTACTTGGATGTTTTCCTTACTTTTACAAATTGCTAAGAAAGTTGTTTAAGAGTTTATTGCTTAACAGGTTATAAAATCACTCAAGTTATGAGAAAGTTGACTTCTTAGTTACTGCTGTGTCTTATCAACTTTACATTCGAGTATGCTGCATATGTGCTCCTTGAGAGCAGCAAGTTAGCTGGACGTGAGGCATAAACTATTGACCTGATGTGTTCCCATGTCCAAAAATACAGCAGTGCTAGGTCTGGATAGCTCAGTGTCCAGAGTAATAGTTACATGTGGCATATCAAGCAGTTGGAAGAAAAAATCACAGTTAACTCAACTCCATCAGCTGCCAGCTGTGGGAAGAGAAAATCACAACTCCATCAGCTGCCAGCTGTGGGAAGAGAAAATCACAACTCTATCAGCTTCCACCTGTGGGAAGAAAAAATCACAGTTAACTCAACTCCATCAACTTCCAATTGTGGAAAGAGAAAATCACAACTCCATCAGCTTCCAGCTGTGGGAAGAAAAATTTACAGTTAACTCAACTCCATCAGCTTCCAGCTGTGGGAAGAAAAATTCACAGTTAACTCAACTCCATCAGCTTCTAGCTGTGGGAAGAGAAAATCACAACACCATCAGCTTCCAGCTGTGGGAAGAAAAAAATCACAATTAACTCCGTCAGCTTCCAGCTGTGGGAAGGAAAAGTCAC